ATTGAAAAATCTGTATGTAACTATTTTCCTACATCTCTGTACTGTACTGATATACCCTGGGATTTATCTGTGAATTGTGCTATGTTTATGCAATGCTAAGGCAAAAAAGAAACATTTCAAATGATAGTATTTTGGATCTCAGTGGTTGATATAGATCTAGGTCCTATTGTTTCAGCCAAAGAATAATTATTTGCTTTATTTGTAAAGTTATTGCTTATGAAAAAATTTGAGGCATTAAATTAGGAAAATTTTAAGAACATGGTCAAAATATCCCTAGTGGATTGATTTTTTTGTGAGTTATTTTACAATGCTATGGATTAACTAAATATAATAACAGGGAAGTCAGTTGCCTTCAGATGATAAAAACGCTGGATTTATTATGATCCAGAAGAATTTTGCTTACATCTAAATTTCGTTATTCTAGAGGTTAAATCTGTTGAAAGTGTTGAAAGTTTGTAATGATGTTCCCTCTGAATATGGCCCGTAAGGACCGAAACATGTAAGGGAGATAAGTTTTAACTTAGTAAAAACTTATATGTCACATTGGACGGAGTGGTTTGTATTTATATATCTGTTGAAAGTGTTGAATAATTAGTAAATAAACAAACACAGTGTTTAACCTAAAAGAACTCTGTGAAAATGTATAACAATTATATAAAAGCACAATTCATAGTTAAGTCCAGGTTTTGAATTTATGCTGCATATTTGACCAAATTTGTATATTTCCCACTATGGAGGGGCCATTTTGCAAGTACTATTGCAGTATTAGCTTCCTAGTTAATAAAGGTAAAAGAACTATACATTTGTAAGCTACAGAATTTCCTAACTTATAACTTTTCTCTATACGCTTATATAGGGCAATATAATAATAATTATACTATAAAAGATTAGTCTGTAAAAATGAACTCCTCCACACCTGTCAAATATCATATCACCGTAGCTGCCTACATACTAACTGATGAAAAAGAAAATCACTCACAGAGGTTTTATTACTTTGTTCATTCTCAATAAAATAAATATTATTGTTCAATAATTCCTGTTTTTTGAACATGTAAATATGAAGGAGTAAAGAGCAGAAGTTTGGTAACAAACTGATATTTGTCCTTTTTAATTTTCAGCTGAATAAATCTGCGCAAAGCAACCACAATATCCTCTTCCCCTTGGGATGTCAGTTACATTTTTACACGCACATTTGGAAATGTTATTTTCACAGAAATTCGAATTCCCTGGATGCATTTAAGAGTTCTGAAGGTTCAGTGAATCCTTCTTGGGCAATCAGCCACGTTAAAATGAAATTCGTATCTGACATTTCAGAGGCTGTCTCCATATTCATACAGGCTATCACCGTAGAAAGACTTTATTGCCTACCATTGCCATTAAAACTTCAAACCATAGTTTCCAAAGATATTTCTATTATTCAAACATACCAGTCTGAAAATAATTTATAAGATCCACAGTTACATCACCCACTGACATTAAAATTAATGCAAGATATTAGATACCATTAAGCTTACATCTAGTTCTGAATATGAGGGCAATTAAAAGAATATCTGCACTTGGCAGTTCATATGTGATGTAGATCTCAATGTTGGGCCCCACATTGAAGTGATTTTTATTTTCAGTACTGTGAACCAGGCCGCACCTCATATATAACAGTGTGTACTGTTCTGTAATGTAACTCGAGTGTTCACCACTGCAAGTTTATATGTCTAATCTTGAATATTTTCTTCTATCAGAAAAGTGGATGTTTGTCTTTTGAAGGCTTTGTAATATAGGGCTACTATAAGTGATTCATTCGTTTTTAAAACGCTATCTTTTCTAAAATAAAACGCATACAAATATGATTGATATATAAAACGAACGGTAAACTCACCACGTTTGTATTATATGCACCAGTTGGCAGCACGAATTCAGTACCTTTACAAAATGGTGACAAAGCAAGAAAAGAGTTTTTGTTTGTTGGAATATGCGAGATGTTCGTCTGTTATAGCAGTGCAACGCGCATTCAAAAGAGAATACGGAAAAGAACCGCCATGTAAACAAAGCATTTTGTGGTGGTATCGGCAATGTTTGTCGCTACCTAAACAATGAACTTCGGCATCGCTGGATTGGGCATATTGGTGAGGATGACGTAGCTCTGTTCACTTGGCCCCCCAGATCACCTGATCTAACGCCTTGTGACTTCTTCCTTTGCTGGTACATTAAGGATCGTGTTTACGTACCCCCACTAGTAGAGCTGAGGGAACGCGGGAACGCATCGATGCTGCAGTGATGACCATTGACAGGATGATGCTACAAAATGTGTGGAACGAGGTCGACTACCGCCTGGACGTGTGTCGTGTGACCCTAGGGGCGCACACAGAACATTTGTAGAGTGAAGAAAACTTGGTGAGTTTACCGTTCCTTTTATATATCAATCATATTTGTACATATAATGCTTTGGAAAATTAGCGTTTTAAAAACGAATGAATCGTTTATAGTAGGCCTGTATATTTTCCAAGGTAATTTAAACTTTATTAAGAGTCCGTTTTCGTATCATTGTTAGATTTTAGGCTCTCTAGGCAGTGGCTGTAAACAGTACAGTGTCCTCTGGATTGTAATGCCATGTAGTTCAGAGAAGGCCCAAGGTTTTGGAGGAACATATCACCTCCAGCTTCAGGATCAGAGTAAATCAATCAAGAAGGTGGGGGGGGGTTGAGCTGAGCCCAGCTTATCGTCCACTTCTAGTGCTTTCTTGTTTGGATTACTCCTCAACCCTGAAAACAGACGTGATATGTTCCACAGAAACATTAGGCTTTCTTTGAAGTACATGGCACCAGAACCCAGAAACCACATTTTTATAAAACTGTTTGAATCAAGTAGCTAGTTTCTTTGTGTTATACACACTTGGGTCATGGCCAGCATGAACATGGGTGGTACTGCCTGCTGCCCCACCCAAGAACTACAATTCTTACTTCTGTCAACACCAATAACAAATAACAGCAAACAGGGAAAGCCTGCAGGTGGATTTAAGGCTAGAATGGAAGTTAACAGTTGATGCAAGTGGCAGAACACTTGCAGAAGGGAGGTAGGCAGATGGATGATGGGAGAATTGGTGCTTATTCTTTCCTGACCCAACCTCAGTTTGATGATCAGAGCCTTCATCCTTTGTAATTCCCTACCACGGGCAAAAGAAACGTCAAGGTCATATATGCTTTTAAGCTGGTACCAGCATCATTTAATGCAAGCTCAAGAAATTGTTTAAAGAATATGAGATAATATGGTAAGTGTGTGAAACCTATGCTCACTTTTTGTTCAGTAGCAACACTATGGAGCCATGATGAAATGTAATGAGAAACAGGCATGCACATTGTGCACGAAACTTTCTTGTATACAAACCAAAAATAATTGTCATTTTATCGTGCTCTTTTTCTGAACAGGTCGCTATTTGCTTTCATAATTACATGAAATTTTGCGTTAAAACTAGTAGCGCAGGCCTGTACTGAAATTTCATTTGAATAGTCCGCATAATTCTCGGCAGCGTCGACAACGTCAACAACAGTTCCCCTAAGCCTAACGCTTCGATGAAATATTCTAGCCGGAAGGAAAATTTGGTATGTGGATATTGCCTACCCTGTTAGTTAAGTCGTTTTGAAGGTTCTGAAATTCTGAATATGGTTTTAGTTTTGTATGAAATAGAGTTGTAGTTTGGAGTGGGGAGAGCTCTATACAGTGGGTGCCGTGCGATTTTTCTCCGGGGATAAAGCTGCCGGTGCGTGAAGCTGATCACTCACCTCCAGAAGCGTAGAGGTTAAGAGTGATGGAGCTGTACCTCCACTCCCCAATACGGTTTCATGAAGTGATGGCAATTAATTAAGTATAGGGCCAATTTCACTTTCTCTGGGTTTTTGAAGTACGTTATTTGAATTGATTTGAAGAAATACATAAAAAATGACGAAACTGGAGCAACTGAGGAACATAAGGCAACAAGAAGATACTACAAGCTGACCCCAACTGTTACGTTTCGGTGTATGCTAAATACGGTAAGACATGATAAATTACCTTATACAAACGTACGCAATTAATCGTATCTTGTGTCTGTTTTAGCTTTCGCTTTAGGTTTATTTATCTTAATTATACAGTATAAGCAGAATTTTACCACCATGTGCTGAACATATATTTAATAGTATGTACCAAAACAATTTGAAAAAGTGTAAGATAAAATTTATACAAGAAATTAATATTGCGTGAAATTGCATAAAATAATGACAGTTTGTAAAGTACTATCGCAGAACAAAGAGTAATCAAATGTTTTTTGTTTTTTTCGTTAAGAAATGATTTGGTATGTGTCATAAATTTAAGAATTCCATTTGTACTAATTTTGGAGAAGAGTCCAGTGTTTTGCCCAATTAACGTTCCTGGTGTAGGGAGATCCCTAACCTCTCCATGGGGCAGAGTTCTTGAAAAGGTTATAGCCCATCAGCTAGCCATTAAATTCGCCACCTTCCAAGAAACCCAGAGAATCCTGTTTATATAGTCACTGTATAAATTAATATAGCAAATAAGCTGGGCAGTATTAAAAAACAAAGGGAAAGAGATGAGAGGTAATAGCTTACGTTTCATGAGATAGGCAACAGGAGTTTGTTTTTATATTAAAAGTATGATAAAGATATTAAGAGAAACTTGTAGGCTACAGAAGTAGAATGGTGGCAATATTTTGATAGGATGGAAACAAACTGAAATCAAAAGAATTGTGAGGCATAAGCAGTTTTCAAGACTAAGATATAACTTAATGGAAATGGAACAAATCATGAAGTTAATCTTAGAAGATATTAATGATTTTCACTGCTTTGTAAAATCAGTGCCTTCATAGTTGTCAGACTCTTGGCTGGATGCTTGATTAATTAGTCAGTTTCTAAAGTGTTTCTTGAGAGGGAGAAGCAAGGGAACTGGAGTATTGCTTCACAAAATTTTATTATAGAATAAATTTTTACAATATATATTTATATCCCTATGAAATAATGACAGTCATTTTACCTAACTGGACTTATAAAGTACATACTATACATAGGGTTCATTTGTTTTCCAGCTATTTTGTTTGTCATTTCACTTTACATATATAGAAGTGATTGTGCTTATAAATATAAATAAGTTATGCATAAATTATCCTCTCTGAGCCACACTGCATTAATATGACACAGTAAGTAGATTTATTATTGTGTATTTACGACAGTTTTCGCATAGATTCTTGTATATACAGTTTTATTGAGATTTGAGGAACCCACAACAGTGACTAAGAAGGTTGTTTTCTGGATGTGATGGCATGTTGCCCATCTTCAGACAAGAAGCAGTAGGTTTCTTCTAAATGTAAGTAATGATCTACCCAACAACATGGTATCACATCCAAGGAGAGAGTAAACTTCATTGTTTATTGAGAGTGCTGAAAATAATCATTCAGAACTTCGTATATGAAATGTATGTTAAGAGTATGATTAAAGTTGAACCCATGTCCAGGATTACTGTCTTTTTGGGCTTTGTCCTCTGTCTAGTGTTCTGGTACCCACAGCATTAATTGTACATCTTCATTTTATCTCCTGGAACAAAACCTGAGCCCAGGTGTGTCCAATGATTGAGTGGTTCCAACCGAGCAGATTTCACCTCACACCATTCATCTGAGTATGGAAACCAATACAAATTCTAAAAACAGTGAGCACCTTCACAATATTAGACAGTGGCCACAGCCCAGAAGCTCAGTAATCCTGATTGTAATACATCATCGTCAGAGCCCTATATAATTGATGTGAACGTTTATCATTCACATCAGTATTTACAAGCTCTTGGTGTTTTAAGCTTCTGTCGTAATCAGCATATACAGAAGTGGGACGTCTGTAATACAGATGTTCACATTTCTTTCTCTGTTCGGAAAGAATGAAATGCATCATCAGCTGTTTTAAGAAGGAACATTCTACATGCCCATTTAATTGCAATAATGTTTCACATTTAATCAACTTGTCAGTGTGACCAACAGCTTAAATTAAATAGAAGAACTTTACTAATATCATACAGAAGACAACAGGATAAATGTTTTGAGTCATAAGGACAATGTATAAGTTTAACTTATCTGATCACCTTAGCAGAAGATCTGAACAATAATTTTCACAGCTACAGAAAAATGGCACAGTTGCATTATTTTTTTAAGTATGACATCCCTTATAGCTGAGTGTTGATAAACTTCAGCACTTTATTAGGCCATTTTAAGCTTCAGGTATTTGGGTCGTTTATAAAGTAAATATACACGTAGGTTGAGAAGTACCAAATTCTTTTTAAAAATCTATTTACATGTTATACTTTAAATATCACACAGTTTACTTGAAAAATAATAAAACTAACATTTTATTATTAACAGAAGATGGTTAAAATTGGATAAAATTGAACTTCTGTGATTGCTGTTAGAGTAATATTCCATTTACCTAAAATTGCTGCTTTCACTAAGAATTTTGAAGACTGGAGTTTGTATTATTTATGCAGAAAAAAAGACTGTTTGTGTAATTAATATAACTGTGAATTGCAAGTTCATAGTTATCAATGTAGTACATTGTTTCCCTGCAAGATAGGTATTTGTCACTATCGTACTACAGGGGTTTAACAAATTTCTGTTATGAAAACTTCAACCGTTAAGGAAAAGAAAAGAAAATTCCAAGACCAAATTTCTTCTTTACATATACAAAATATATATGGTTACTCTAACTTCCATTTGTATAAAGTAGTCACCAAGAATTTAAATGCTCATCCCATAAGAGAGAGAGAGCGTGATTTTATTAGTGTTTTCACTGATAATTCTTCAGTGAAACAATATGGTATTCATAGAAGGCACTTTCTCTGTATATTTAATTTATAAACATAACAGATGCACTCTTCTTCAAATCTTTATCAGGAACGGAAAATTTTACACAAGCAGATTATCATCTGAGCAAGCAGGACCTTTTGATGGCCAGTTACATGCACCTAGATTTGAGTCGTATGCAAGGTGAACTGGGCAATTAAACACATGAAGTGTGTAACGCCCTTTCCATTCATCCCAGTAACACGCGTAAAATTTATTACAGTATTTTGGATGTCTGAACAGGCCTGCTCGTTGACAATCTACAGACCCTTGCAAGGTCTCATCCAGTCCTCGCCAACCACCAGGTCCATATCTATCAAACGACCTGCCAGCGCCTGTAGCACCTGACCCTGCTTTGGTTAGACTGCCATCTGTTCTAACACCTGAACCTCTTGTCGATGCCACTGCATCTGCTCCGGGACCAAGGGATCCTGCTTCATGATACCCACCAGAGACAACTGCCACTGGAACAGCTGTGGTGGAGACCACGTTTCGTGCCTCAGGTCTTGTGCGATATCTGATACCTGTAGCAGAAGAGATGGTGGAGCTGACTTTATCGAGAGGTTCAGGAGTGGTGGATAATCTCTGAGGTCCTGTTCGAAGTCTCACGTCTGTATTGGAAGGAACCAGATATCTAATGTCCACAGGCTTTGCTCTTTTGTATGCATCTCCTGTTAGCTTAGTGCGTGGCCTCGATGTCGTTATCAACACTGTAGGTGCTGGCGTGACTCTAATTTCGTCCAGTCCAATTGCCTCGAGGAATTCATTAGTTTTAGGTGTTGAAAGAGGTACCGGAGTCAGACTCTGTGATGTTGAAGATATTTCATCATTCAGTCCAAGAATCATATCTGGAGAACTACCTGTTACAAGGTTTGATCCTGGAAGAGGTGCCAAAGGTATATGTTCAGGAATGTTATATGTTCCACTTCTTGAAGTTACATCATCATCAAAAGTAGCGCTAGAAATTGGTGCCAGTTTACTTCCTGAAATACCAACATTTGAAAAATCATCTGGTTTCTTCAGTGTGACAGTATTAGATTTACATGTGCACTGAGCACCTAATTTGGCGATTAGGAGGGGGTTGACATCACTGAGACGAGTGATAAATACAACAGGCTCTTGTTTAGATCGTAGTTTACTGTCTTCAAGTCCAACTGTGATGGCGTCATATCCATTTCCTCCATCGGCCTCTGTGTTTACCTTCGAACCGTATCTGAACTTTCCTCTGAAGCCTCCTGAATTTGGTGATGAAGTTGTGCTAATGTACGCTGTATTTCCCAAAGTACTCGAGCCGATATCGGTCGCAGGTGTTGTTGAGAAGCCAGCTGTGGTTCCAGACACAATGCTAGAACTTCTATCACTATAACCAGTAGCTGAATATACTGTATTCAAGCCTGACAGACTGACAGTGTCAACACGTCCTCTTTGGGAAGCCTTTACTCGACTATTCTGTATCACCCGACCTCTATCACGATCAACAAGATCATCATTTATTATTCCACTAATGAAACCTTCCTTATTGTTGTCCAGGAGACCACCGAACTTTCCTGAATATTTATCAAGAAGAGCTTCAGTATTTTCATTATCATAATTAATGCGCATTATTGGTGCTGGTTTTCTACGTGAGGCGGATTGACCAAGTCTTGAACCAAATACTTCTAGGTTCTGGTGATCTGATGATGTTGATTGTGAAACTGGAGCAGAGGTTTCACCTATGAGTGTGCTTGTTACAGCTGGTACTGGGGTCGACACTACTCCATCAGATTTAGGTATGATTTCAGCCATATATGCAGCAGGACTTGAGGTAGATGAAACAAAATTAGGCCTTGGAGTATCTGAATAAAAAATTCTTGGTCCTGGCGTTGGGGTTGTTGGGATGGGAGCACTAGAAACGTAACCAGGACCAAGATAAGGTCTTCCCCGTCCTTGTGCATGGCCAGTAACAGAAATGAAGTTTGAATCTGTTGTGTATACTGTAACAGGAGGCGCCCCATAGGTGGCGTTGATTTGTGGTGAGAATCTCTCCCTTGCTTCTGCAGGGTAAGGTGCTACAGATTCACGACCCAGATCAGATTTTCGTGCTCCGAATTCTCCATCAGCAATTGACACTGAATGAATTGGTTCTACATTGGATGAAAGAAGAGCTTTCTGACTTAATGTATAACCTCTGGATATGGATATGCGTGGGACATCTGTAACTGATGAAGATGCGTACCCATTTTTATGGATGTTGCTAATTTCTATATTGGAAGCAGGAGGGGCAGTTAGTCTGGTGGCTCCAACCTTTGTACTATAACGTTCTCCAGTAACATCTGAACCTACAAACGTTGGTCCAGCTGTGGAAGATGGGATTTCCAAACCTGAGGCTAACCCCGGAGAACTCTCGAATACTGCTGGCTCAAGTCCACTTGCTAGAGAGACTCCTCTAAAAGTTGCAGCTTTTCCAGTGGCAAAAGTACTAGATGGTTTCGGATATGAATATCCAACTGCTGGCGTTATTCTTGTATTTATGATTGAAACAGTGTCACCAGGAACTATATCAATGCTTGGCACTGAGTACACCCCAACATTTGGTTTAACTGACACTGTACCACTGGACAGTATGTTAGGTGCAGGCGAAGAATATGAATATTCACTTGATGGTGCATTTGATTTCTCTGTGGGAAGATGTGTTGATAATGAATAACTTTCAGAAGGCACATGCGATTTCAGAACTGGGACTTGTTTAATGGAAACAGCGTCTCCGGTTAAGATAGCACTTGCTGGGGTAGAGTATGAATAAGCCCCATTAGAAATTCCTGATGTGACCACAGGGGTCACTGGAAGATAATTGCTGGAAAGGATTGCAGAGTTTGGCGGTGATTGAACATTTCCACTAGAAGCTTTACTTTGAACTGAGGATACAGGTACTGAACCACTCGTTATGACAGTAGTAGCTGTAGTTGAGAAGGAATGACCTCCAGAAGAAACGCCTGCTCTTATCACAGGAGCTGGAGTTACTGGAACTGCATTTTCAGTGACAACTGCACCAAAAGTTTCGATATCAGAGCTTACATTTGGTACTGAAATACCAGCAGCTCCATTCGTAGCAACAGATATAGCAGGTCTTCCTTGGAAATGACGCCCTTCTCCAGCACCTCTTCCAATAGCAAAGCCAGACACACCTATTTCTGAAAATTCAGTTTGAATTGGAAGTACAGTAGGAGCGGGCGTGCTCAAATACGTGTTTACAATGGGAACAACAGGTCTGGCAACAGGTATGATTGGTGCCTGATGTGCAACTGGTCGCAATTTGGTTCTTGTCGAAAGATCTGAAACCACTGGTGTTTCTTGAAAGTAAGTGGCAAGTGGGGCTGCCCCAACAATCGGCGCGTGTGATACTGTAGGTCTTCTGACATGGGTTGTGACAGGTACAGTTTTCTGAACAAGGGACACTGCTGGGGCAACAGGGATAGTTGCTACTGCCGGTGATTCGCCCACTATCTCTTGGTATAATGTCACAGGGGCTGCTTCTGCTACGGACACCGCGGCAGATTGTGTAACGGGTACCTTCGCCACGGCAGGTGTTACTCGGACAACTGGCGACGGAGTTTCAGTCACTGTCTGTTGATACACCGTCGCAGGGACTGTTTGAGCAACAGGCACTACAGCAGGTTGTACAACAGGGATCTTTGCTATGGCAGGTTTTCTGAAAGTTGTTACTGGGAGAATTGGAGCCTGTGGAGTCTCAACAACTGTCTGTTGAAACGCTGTCACAGGGACTCTTTGAGGAAGAGGCACTACAGCAGGTTGTACAGCAGGGATCTTTGATACGGCAGCTTCTCTGAAAGTTGTTACTGGAACAGCTGGAGCCTGTGGAGTCTCAACTACTGTCTGTTGGTAGGCCGTCACGGGGACTGCTTGAGCAACAGGGATTGCGGCAGGCTGTACAACTGGGACCTTCTCTACAGAAGGTATTAGAGTTTGAACCTGTGAAATGCCAACCAATCTTTGCTGATGTGCTGTAGGAGGAACTGCAGTGGGATGTACAATGGGCAATTGAGCTACGGCTGGTTTCTTAAATGTAGTAGCTAGAAGACCTGGGACATTTGGTGTTTTGACCACAGTCTGGTCAGAGACAGAAGATAGATCACCGCCTGAGAAGTACAAGCCTTCATTACCATGAGCAACATTGGATGAATACAAAGCCCTGGCACTGCCGCTGCTTCCAATGAAAGCATTTTTTGAGTCGGTAGAAATGCCGGCAGCTTGCCCGCCGGATATATAAGCAGACGCGGCGCCTATGCCATGGACTCCGACATATTCTCCCGACACAAATCCACCAGAGTTTTCAATCCTACCACCTGACACGTAAGAATCAGGGAGCGATGCGTAAGAAGAGATATATCTTCCTTCGTTATAAGAACCAGCATTTCCAAAACTTTCACTGCTTCTTCCGCCGGTTATGTAAGCGTTCGCTATTTGTCCACCGAGTTCTCCTCCCAGCGCTGAGCTACCGCTGTATTTTACATTTCCTCTATTAGCTCCAGCAGCATGCGTGAGTGATGCACGTTCGTTACTGCCTGTATTGTCTTCTGTTAGCAATACGCCACCTGCACCATATCCTGCTTCATAACCAGTTACAAGTCCTGCACCACGTTGTACAACCGTTCTGTCTGCACCGGAAGTGACGCCAATTCCAGATCGCACATTGAGATCACCTGCGGTGACAAAAGCGGAACCGGATGCTTGTGATAGTACAGTACCAGCACCTCCACCACCAATTGTGTATCCGTTTCCGGCTGTTGCAATGTAACCTCTTCTCGCGCCACCAAATGTTACTGAACCAAAGTAGGCTCCAGTGGCGGCACCGCCTTTTCCACATCCATCAACAAGCCATGGCCATTGGCAAAGTAGGTTCTTCTCGTCGAAGACTAGTCCAAAAGGACAGCGGAATTCATAGGCTGTCAGAGGTGAGATGCCGTCTCGTGCATGGTCCAGACAGGCAAAGAACCAACGGCAGTTCTCAGGATCTGCGTAATAGCCCTCCACTGTGGGGCAGATATAACGGGCCTTAGGAACGGGAGCAATTTCAGTGGAACCATAACACGGATCTTCAAGTGTTGTCCCTGGCCATATGCAGATCTCCCAGCGTTGCTCAAATATCAGACCAGGAGGACAGTCATACACAAATACTGTGAACTCGTCTGAGTCTTGGTCGAATTTCACACATCGGTAGAACCTGTAAGTGAAGAAATGTGCTAGTTTTAGAAGTATGCTTGTTTAGAAATCAAAATTAGTTGGTAATAGCTGCGCAGTAATCGCGTTTGTGATACGCTTTCATTGACACCGTTCTCATGGCCTGAACTAGGACTCTCCAAATCCAAACCAGTGAGAGGCCGCGTTGCAGCTTACTTGCCCCAGACTCTCATTATAATATAATACGTTTTAAAGTTATTTCGATACAGTGAAGCACAAAGCACTAATATAAATGTAAGATTTGAGATTTTCACGGCGGTGACTATGAAGAACGCAGTCTTCTGGGATGTGGCACCGTGTAGATGTGTATCAACCGATGTTTCGGAGGAACGTATCCCCTTCATCTTCAGGGTAAAAGGAAAAATAAGAAAATCCGCAAGCGAAGAGACCGTGAGAACCGGTACATTCCTCCGAAACATCGGTTAATACCACATCTACACGGTGCCACATCGCAGAAGACTGCTTTCTTCGCTAATATAAAGTTTAAAGAGATGTGTGTTCAAAACAAGTGTTGCAAGGTGGACGGTGCTCAAAAATCAGCCGCTTAAAGTATGCCAGATTGGATTGGTATTGCATACGACCATGGAGTCGTACTGATTGCACACTTTTTGAAGTTATTTAATAGTAGTTGTGTGGTATCAATTGGAAGAATTACACGGGAAAATTAGAGAAATTTTCATACAAGTTTTGTCGTCTTCTGTAAAGAGAAAATGCTTAGGGCAGTGGAAGGATTTACCAAGCATTGTAGTTAGACTTAAATTTTGTTATGTGAAGATAAAGTTAGATCCGGCTCAGGATAGGGACCACTGGCGGGCTCTTACGGATACGGTAATGAACCTTCTTGTTCCACTAAATGTTAGGAAATTCTTGAATAACTGGGTGACTGACAGCTTCTCAGGAAGGACTCAGCTTCAGGTAAACATAAAGTTGTCATGAAGTCATGTAAGGGGCTGGAAGCATAGCTCCACGCATTCACAGCCTCGGCACTAGATCAAGACGAGCCACAGCTTCACGCTCTGGTCGCTGTACCTCTGGTAGCAGTTGTATCGGATATGTGTGAGCTCCTGAGCTAGTCTTGACGCTGACGCTGTGTAGAGGAGAGAACTCTCTTGTTCCTGTCGGAATCGAACCCGAATTCCTGAGTTATCGAGCCTGTAGCCTAGTCGCTGTACCGACTGAGCCTCATGTGTAACGAAGGTGAAGGTAAAGAAAGATTTCTTTTGCATTTAGTGTGCCTACCTTTTGCAAGTACGTGGGTGTCTGAAGAAACCCGGCCTTGTGCATGTGAGCTCGACATTTGAATCCCTTCTCACGACGTGCAAATGTCCAGTGGGGTCGACCACTCTCACGACTCGGTAAGGCGACAGCCGCACGTCACCTGAAAATGTATATTGTCATTGCTAGGACCAGAATGTCTTAGTGACTAGACAAATGTCAAATTTAAGATATTATATTTGATGTTCTCACAGACCGGAAACTGTGGAGAGAACGATTTTCTGGGTTGTAATGCTGTGTAATTCAGTAATGTTCACCAGAGATTTGGAGAAATATACAGCCTCTATCCTCAGGATCGAAAATAAGCCTAAGAAGAAACCAGCTAGAAGCATAGCAAACCGCGCGGAACAAAACAGGCGCAGATGAAAGACGCCAAGTTTTCTCAGTTATTTGCCTTTCACCTCTTGTAAATCATTCTCTTCATCTTCCAGACATTTCAATTTGTACTTTCTCAATTTTTCACTACCTTGTGCTTTTTTTTTATTGCTAGTGGGGTGGGACTAAGTCCCTTGTACTGCGGACACTTCTGGCCTACTGTACCAGCCCCAGATGATAGGTGAGGGTGATTGTGGAGCAATTGGTGGAATGAAGATTGGCAGGAGAAACCGAAGTACTTGGAGAAAACCTGCCCCAGCGCCACTTTGTCCACCACAAATCGCACTTGACCAGACCCGGGGTCGAACCTGGGCTGCCGCGGTGGGAAGCCAGCCACTAACCGCTTGAGCTATGGCGCGGCCTACCTTGTGGCTTACACTCAAAAAAATTCTTACACATTCTTGTTTGGTTCATTCTGATCCTGCCCCAACCACGCTTAGACTAGCTAAAACTAAACTCTGTGGCTCTAGTCCGCAATCAAACTATTAGACTGAGTGTATGACTGAATTCCACATACTGTGGGAACGGATATGCGTCATTGCCTGTTAGTGACGTAGGCCGTTACGTCGTCATTTGAAAGTTACTACATACATACATCGGTGGGAAATTCAAACCTACTTACAAGGGATTTTTTTCCGTAAGGTTGGCTACACATGCTATGAGAAACCCCATTTTGCACAGTGGATGGAATTCAGATGATATGACTCATGGAGCTGTATCGCTTGCTAGACACTACGATAAATCACACAATTCAGAGAACGTTCCAAAAGGCAACAGTGTGGCAAGTGACACCTTGTTTTTGTCCAAACCTGAGACGGTGCGCAGGGATGAGGTTCTGATATCCTGCTGCAGGGTTTCTAGTAGAACGCCTCTCGATTTGCGAGCCAGGGATGTGAAGGCGTGATACAGGGTGTGAAGTAATAATGGTGCTCTGCTTCTGGTACTGTTCTCCTCCAGACAGGATCCTGACCAGTCTGCACTGTCTACCGCGTACAGTGCTGCTCCTCCTAGGTCACGGAGTAACACATATTTGCTCTGAAATTAACAGTAATTGCCACATTAAATTCTTTTATGAAATTAGATGTGATAATCCCTAATTTTTACCGAGGAAATCCACGAGAGACTTCAGTTAAAATTGTTGATGTCTAGGTAGAGGTTCGAACCGATTATCTACCAAATGGAACTATAGAGAATTACCGCCAGACAAACCTGTGTCGGTGTGTGGTACTGGTATTTTGGAAAATCTAAATTGAAAGAAGAATTAAATGTACCAGATATTAACACCATACGTAATATGTAAGAATTCAGTCCTTACGTCACAGGAACCATTACGTCTCCGCTACAAAGCCCAACCGGTTAATGCTGTTTAAGGAAACAGTCGCTGTTTATTGTGAGAACCACATGGAACACACAGATACACTCTGTGGGCAGAATGCAGAGTTTTAGTATGTTCAGTCCGTACCTCACAGGAAACATTACGTCTCCGCTACAAACCCCAACCGGTTAATGCTGTTTAGGGAAACAGTCGCTGTTTATTGTGAGAACCATACGGAACACACAGATACACTCTGTGGGCAGAATGCAGAGTTTTTTAATATATCAAAGGTGTACAGTAACCGCTGAGATTTAAAAAGTTGATTTTTTCTTCAAATTTACCGCCCATATAAGCTTTCATCATTTAGTCGTTGCTGTTTAGGAATGCGGACTTTACCTTTATGCCAACACTGATTTTGTCATCAAAGGCAATCCAGCTGTCATTCTTGAAGGCGTATGGCGCCGTGAGGTCATCGTCTCGCTCAATAGTCCAGCCTCCATCAGCCAGTAAGGTGCATAGCTAGAAACCATGAAACATTGAAATGTTCACTCTTACTGAAGCACGGTAAAAATAAAACATAGAAATATATAAAATATCATTTATAAAATTATATATATATATATATATAGGCTATATAGCTGACATGGCGCGGTCAGTGTACTGACTGCACTAGGGGCTGGATGACCCGAGAACTTGGGCTCAGTTCCAAGACATTTCTCCTCCACAGCGTCCAGACCAGCTATGGAACACACCAGTGGGTAGCGGGCCCTCTGGCCTCACGAGTAAAGCGGTCGGGGCTTGAAGCTGACCACTTACCCCCATTTAATACGTAGGCTAAGAATATGTGGAGCTATAACTCTGTTTCCCCCCATGGTGTCTTAATTAAGTGCAAAGACAATTATACCTTCTTACGTTATGACATTTTAAATAATTCCTGGATTATTCTGGCAGAAGCAGACGTATGACAGTTTCAAGGAAAGAACATACATGAGGTGGGGCTGGGGACAGTATTCGTACCTAAACGCAAAGAAGTGGCAAGGCGACGAATACAACTGCGTAATTTTGTACTATTCATCACATATTATTATTAAGGTAATCAAATGAAATAGGATAATATGGCGAGCTCAAGTACCATGCATTCGAAAGATGAGAAACATATAAACGTTTCTAGTCGGAAAAGCCTGAAGTGAAGAGGTCACCCGGAATGTGCAGGCATAGGTGAGAATATAATATTAAAATGAATCTTAAAGAAATAGGTATGATGGCGTGGAGTGGATTAAATGGGCTCAGGCACAGTTCTTTTTGCGAATATAATGAAACTACGGATTCAGTAAAATGTGGGGGGAATTTCTTGAGTAGGTGAGCGTCAGTACAATTGTAAAGAAGGTCTGTTTTCCCCGTAGAGTTATATAGTAAACAAACAAGAATGTTATACTTACCTCCGTCTGTGTAAGAGTTTCTTTCCCATCCGTGACTGGAGATCTGGGCGTGTTTTCCTCGACGTTTTTTAGGGTGAACCGCAGCGCGGTGGCTGGAATGGTTATGATGAGCTTGTCATGATGGGCTCCGAGACCCATCAGCAAGTCCAGCAGAGAATCCTGTGAGTTCGGAGAATAGGAAAGCATTGAAATTGCACACAGAAGAGCGAGAAATACCCAAGGTTTAAATAAGGTATTCGTCTAAGGCAGTGGTTCACATCAGTGTCCACGAGATTTCCAGTCAGAAGGAGTTACATAAATTGTGTTCACAGAAGAAAAGTTGGAAGAACGTTTATGTTATATATAATACATTTTCATTATTACGCTTTTATGCCTATAAAACCGCATTTCCATATTTATGCTTACGTAAAACTATGGGGTTTATTAAGCATGCCAGTTGAAAGAACCTATCGATAAATCGATGCGATGTGGTCTCGAAGGAAATTATTTGGTGTCAATTCGACTTATCGATATATCGCGATATATCTCCGCAACGAAGTTACGAATATCAGAAGGTACTGAATATACCGAACACCGTCCATTGCAGAAAATTATTGGAGGTGTTCCGCTTGATTATTAGGAAGATAATAATTTGTGGATAATTATGAAGTACGTGTATGTGTGTAAGGGGAGGGCCATAACATCCGGCCCTCGCACTGCGACCTTCAGTGATCTATTGTGCTTCCTCTTCGGATTAACCCTTTATTAATCCTACACTTCGAATGAAATGTAGGACTTTATTTATGAGGACGTCACAAAAGTCACTTGGTTCCATGAAGAACTTACCCAGGTGACGAAACATTAAGTAAGCTATGGCCTCACAATCACATAGGATATGTAATTGTGAAGTATATACTGTACATATAAACAACATACAGTGTTTACGACTGAACTTAATTAAGTACTTAAGACAATTTAAAAGAACTCTGACACTGATAAAATGATTTGATATGATTTAAATGCCGCTAATACCCGTATGAAATTCTGTATTGATTGAAACCCTTAACCTCTAGTTACCGTGTTTAGAATGTCATTAAGGCCCATGAGACGGCTGGGGTGATAGGTGAAACCTTCTTCAGAGCTGTCTGTCAGATTGTGGCTTGGTACGATGAAGTAGTCCACATATCTGTAAAGGAAATAATACATGAACATATTTAGTACATTTAGGTTAGATGAAGTCTTTCGCCCCTGTTTCAAATGTACGTCTGACAATGCCTCGTTATCCTGACTGGAGATTTTCTTCGGTTTCTCTCTCACAGAATTCCTACACAAATATCAGTGTACACGTAACAGTTGTATTCGGCAGAAAGAATTATAGAAGAAACTTGTGAAACACCCATTGAGAATTCAGCGGGAAGTGCCATCATTTCTTACATACTTACTTACTTACGTATGGAGCTGAGCCCTTCTTGAGGAGAAGCCAAATCTGCAGCTACTGAAGAATTTCCCAGCATTTTATGGAACCAGAATGTTCTTTACCGTGTTCACAAGAGCCCTCCACTGGTCCTTATCCTGAGCCAGATCAATCCAATCCATCCCATCCTATGTCTCTAAGATCCATTTTAATATTGTCCACCCACCTACGCTTTGGTCTTCCCAGTGGTCTCCTTCCTTCTGGCTTTCCCACCAATATCCTATGTGCATTCCTCTTCTCCCCATTCGTGCTACATGCCCACCGCATCCTCCTTGACTTTATCATAGCTTTCATGATGGTAATGTATCCTGTTTCCTTCCATATTCCTTTCCAGTCGTGCGTATTATCGAATGACACGTCGGTTATGGTATTTAATACCATCGTTCACGAATGACCCGTACAGTCAACCGTAAAACATTTCCCTTATATACCATAATTCACTTTTCACAGCCACATCAAGATACAGTAAACCATCGCCAATCCGGACTAGAGGAGCAAAAGTTAGCGCTAAAAGACAAAAAAGACCTTATAAAACAAATAAATGGAAAATTGAATAATAGCAGTGCTGACGAAATGAAATAAAAAATATCACCATAGATTCCATATTTAAAACTATAGAAAGACAAGAAGCTCAAATCCAGGGTCTGCTTCATCCAGCTGAAGCCAGTCTTGGATATTTGCTTGTGCGGTTTCAGTCTCTCCAGCTGTCCTCAACACAGTCTGAAAGTCCTCTTGCTCCTAAATGCCATCTCTCTTTCAAAGTATGTACTCGGCTGTGAAGAGAAATTTTTCGTACTCCGATCCGGATTAACTCTAACCGGATTAGTGAGGGATTGCAGTATGAGCTGTGGGCGCATCAGAACATGACAATACATATTCCAGCACTATTACTGTTTAGTGTACAGTATACTTATTCTTATATTAATATTAATTTATATCATTGTTAGTTGTAATTGTAAGTGTATTTTCACTGCATTTACTGTGCGCTAGTGTGTCCTTTGTTGTTTGTGTGCTGTGTTTTGTTTGAGTGTGGTGTGTTATTTTGTGTGATGTGTGTTATTTCTGTGTTGTGTCTTATTGTAGTACCACTGCCACCTGATAAAACCCCACTTGCAGTTAAAATAATAATAAACACTCATAGCATAAACACAAGACACTGAAACAAAAGGCTCTTCGCTCGTTCGTTACCATATAATTCACTTTGATGCAACGTGTTAACAATTGGAAGGTCGTTGCTGTGGTAACTCAAATTTGCATAATTTCAAATCTTTGAACCAACATTATATTACAATTGCAATGTAATTATCTTCCGTAGTAAGCACAGTAGATCCACAAGCATCTATTCTATGTTAGGTAATATTCAGATTGGCAAGAAGTCAAAACGGTATACTGAATAAATAATAAACCATAAGTAGGTAAGACCCTTGTATTAACTTACTTTGTCAGAGTTTTCAAATCGAATCGTTTGACGAGGATCTCCGGCTGAGTAGGAATGTTGAGCAGAAGTAGCCGGCTCTTGGGGGTCTGCACATCCAACGCTAGATATCTCTGGCGAAGTCTTTCTCTTGCACGTCTGTCAGTGTCTGTACGTGTACTCCTTAAAGTGGGTCTGTGAGGGGCCAATCTTTTTCCCGGTTCAGCCCTCCTCACATCCCTCGGTCCATACCGCCTGGAAAGTGATATATACATATGGGATGTGTGGAGAATCCTTACATTTTCAGTTCAGCGCTATGACATGAAGATATATGGGGGGAGTGGAGGTATGGCTCCCACTTTTGTGACCTCGGCAGTAGACGGAGGTGAGTGATCAGCTTCACGCCCGGAGAAATCGCGGGGTTGTGCCTGATTAAGGACACGGACAGTTCGAACTTTATCTTACCTGGAGGGTGTCCACGCTGTGGTACTGATGTCGTCCACGTGTTCAAATACGGAATAATCTCTCTTGTTTCGATGCGATCTTTCATCTCCCATCTCTTCTCGAAGTAACTGGAAATTAGCAAATATAAATCCGCCATGATTTATTGTTAAGTGCAAGCCCGGCATGAGATCAGCATGAAGCAGCGAAGCAAGGAGAGACAGTGTGATCGTATAGAAACAGAAAAGGGACTTGAAACCAGAGCTTCGCTTGCTACCTGTTTCATGCTGCTTTCTTGCTTAGCTTATGGAGGCGACATGTTCCTCCGAAACGTCGGTTGACTTTCAACGGACTACAGTGTTATATCACAGAAAATAGAAATATTCATAACCACCGGCGTAAGAACCTCAAATCCTACAAAATAATATTTTTTTAATTCATTTTTGTTCCAAGTGTAGTAAAATTAGTGTATATATATAGATCAATTTTATTTTTGATAATTTATATAGAGAATTTGATATCGGAATGTTCATCAGAAAACCCCGGAAACGCATGCAAGTGTGTGGAACAAACGAAAGCAGATGGTGCATTGCGCCTCAGAGGGTTACTTAATTGTCCGAAATGGCCAAACCTTTGCGAGAGCGACAAGGCCCGCTTTGGATTGCTTGGAGCCGCCTCTGGCATCCAGCCTGAAGTCAATCTCGATGCCGTTGAGTTCGGCATCCCGAATATTCCGGGCGACGCTCGACGCGAACGCAGTTCTCCTGTCGGCGGACTTGACCAGTGCCTCTACCACTTCTGTCGGGATTCGAACTCCGCCCACGCTTAGCAGGACCTGGAGCTCCGGGTTCCGTCTCCTCACTTCCCGCGTCGCCTTCCCCACGTCTGCAAGAAAAGAGAGCGCAGTTCCGCAATACTTCTCCACGAGAAATGCGATATCAACTGAAATACATAATTTAGTGTTCCCATGTAGGCCCCGGTTTCACAAGTGGTCATATTCCTCACTGTTCTGTTTAAGGGAAAGGTAAAACTGTCCCTGTGCTTAACTAATTAAGCACTACGCCATGAAGACGTATGGGGAGTGGAACTATAGATCCACTTATTCTTGACTTTGGCAATGGTTGGAGATGAGTTGTCAGCTTCACGCCCCGGCAGCTTTACCCCTGGGAAGGAGCCCCCGGTACCCGTTGGATTTGAGGCTGGGGGTCCCTATAGCCGGTCTTGATGATGTGGGGAGGAGAAAATCTCGCCCTTAACCGGAATTCGAACTCCGACCCCTCGGTCGTCAAGTTCGTACCCAATCACTACACAGACTAGGCTAGAGTTAGAAATTGAGGGATCGGTGTTTGATTCCCTACAGGTGCAAGAGGTTTTACTCCATAGAATCCAGACCGGCTCTGGTGTCCACCCAAACTCACGTACCATAGGCTAAAGCGGCCGGGACGTGAAGCTGACCACTGACATCAAGTACAGAGACTGAGTGTTGTGGAGCTGTATCCATGCTCTCCCATACCCATTCAATGCGTGCTGCTATTTCCGTACGGGAATAATTTTACCTTTACCTTTTAATTTAATTATGAGTGGTACATGAGCCCACATCTCTTCATTCTTGTTAGTTGGTTGAGGCCCTATGCTACAAGCCGAAATGTCGCGGGTTCAATTTCCAGCCGCGCTATGGCCCTGGGATCGACACAGCCTCTAACATAAATGAGTACCATGGGTCATCCTGGGGGGTAAAGGGCGACCGGCGCGTAGGGCTGACAACCTCACCGCCATTTGTGAGCCGACTGTCTAGGAAATGTGGGAGCCTCGACGTCTCACTACCCTATGGGCCTTCACGGCATGTTACAGGGATAGCTTGGCGCGTACGGCTGACAACCTCACCGCCATCTGTGAACCGATTGTGTAGGAAATGTGGGAGCCTCGACGTCTCACGGCCTGTTACAGGACCTTTACCAAAATGAGACGAGTACACAGTATGGGACTGCTGAGTTCCTGGACATCCTTCATCCAGCCGTATTTCGAAGAGAACAGTGTTCAGGAGGCTGGATCTGTTTTCATCGTCAGGTGAGGATGTGTGGGGGGCACATGAATTGGGCGTACTATAGCTACGAGCATGGATGACGTCACAGCAACAATGTTCTGCTATCTGTGACGTACCTGTAGATCCTAATCATTCTGCAATTAAACAGATCACCGCCAGAAACACTCTTATCATCATATCACTGTCATCAGTATCCGTTCACCAGCCACAACCCTTGACACGTAGCGAAACTCTGTACTTTTCCTACGCGTATATGGGTTTGCGTGACTAATGACAGTGGGTTCTGGATTGGATGATTGGTTTTAGTGGCACTTCTTTACAATTAAAATCAATTATATAAGATCACAAGCAATGGCTGCCTAGGACTCGCTCCATTCCCTACTGGACTACGCGTGTCTTCCCTTCCATTGTGACGAATACCGAAAGAAGAATCACTCCCGAATGAATCCTGCAACTGTCCTCCCTTTATAACTTCGCGAGAACCGAATAGAGACCACCACTTCCAACAGTTAGTTGTCATTTTGTTATTATTTGTTTTGTCCGTTGCTACGAAACATAGCAACCTGCTACTAACCAACGGAAGTCCGACTATTGACTGCGTGACCTCGAGAATGTGTTTGTCTAGCGTTGTATAGAAATGAACTATTCCGGCTTTCAGGCGTCATGTCACAATATTTTTTTGTGTTTCCTGTGATTCTCAGAGTAAAGAGCACTAGCATTTGCTGCGTTCGGGGCCGTAGCCCCGGGATCTCAAGACAGAAACTGTATCCACGGATTTTACTGGGAAATTTCCTTCCATAAAATCATGAAAAATTATACCGTATTCTTAGTTACTGTAAGGAACAAGCAAATAATAAATATAACAACTTAAGTTTGGGTTTACTGCTATGGGCCTCCACGTACTGGGAGCCCTACAACTTTAACTCTGGCTAGTCTGCTTTGTTCGGGGCATGAAAGTGTTGTGTCCCCACTCAAACTGAACCCGCGTGTCTGTCGTGAAGAGAAATTCACTGCTTGTGACGACAGGTTGTGTCTGACTTCGCAGCTTGTGGTCAGGAACAAGTTCTGGAACAGCTGCATCACACCCTGGTCCACTGTATGTTGAAATGTAATTATGACAACGCAAATAGAAACCACTGACAGATTGGACTGCGTGCTAAGTCTAGTTTCAAATGGTATACGCGTTTTTTTTTTGTGACTTGTTCATACCTTCAGGCCTAGGTGTCGTGCTAAAGGAAATGTTTTTACATATGAATCACATGTTGTTACGTAAAGTGAACTTCTCTGACGCTTTGGAATCTGAGCCACTGACAGCGCCGTTACGCGGGCCACGAACTCTTTAAATAGCAGCGGCAGCGGCATGCATGGTCTGCGTGCGTCTGTTCGTACGGTTATCAGAACACATAGCGACTTGGGGTTTAAGGTTAGGCCGCGCCATAGCTCAAGCGCTTAGTCGCTGGCTTCTCACCGCGGCGGCCCGCGTTCGGTCCCGGGTCTGGACAAGTGGGATTTGTGGTGGACAAAGTGGCGCTGGGGCAGGTTTTCTCCGAGTACTTCGGTTTCCCCTGCCAATCTTCATTCCACCAATTGCTCGACAATCACCTTCACCTATCATCTGGGGCTGGTACAGTAGGCCAGAAGTGGCCGCAGTACAAGGGACTTAGTCCCACCCCACTAGCAATAAAAAAAAATAAATAGGGTTTAAGCTTCTCACACAGGTGGTTATGAAGAGTCTCACTTTCTGGGGTATAGCGCCGAGTAGTCCATTGGAAAGTCGAAAGACATTTCGGTGGAACGTGTCTCCATCTCCATAGCCGAAGAATAAATAAATCAAGAACCACCACGAAGCAGATACCAATCAGAGCCTGAAGATGGATGCAGAAAGTTTCTCCGAAACATCAGTTGACTTTTAACGGACTACACGGCGTTATATCTCAGAAGATAGAACTGTGGTGATTACTTCACTATACACGGTCGGTCAGTTTACCGTTGAACGCAGTGTGTTTTCTGTGATTTACGAACTGAAATTTTTAATTATAATTTAGATTATATTACTGCATGGAAGGGTTAAACATGAAACAAATTTTAAACTGGCAAAATTTAGTTTAAGCAATAATAAATATGTAAAGGTACGTGGAGAGAAAGTTGTCCCTGTGCTTAACTAATTAAGCACTACGCCATGAAGGCGTATGGGGGAGTGGATGGATAGATCCTTATTTTTCTGACCTCTGTACTAGCTGGAGGTGAGTGGTTAGCTTCACGCCCAAGTAGATTTGCCCCCGGAGAAAGAGCCCCCGGTACCCATTAGATAGGAGGTTGGGTGAACCTCAGAGCCGGTCTGGATGCTCTGGAGAAGAGAAAATTCTTGCCCCCACCTGCACTCGAACTCCGACCCCACCTAGCCAGTCGCTATACCAACTGAGCTACCCCAGGGGTCCGCCTCTTTGATTCCACCGGGGGGATGCCCGAAATTGACCATTTAGAGGAAGGGAAAGTCGTAACACAATAAATATATAGGTGTTAACATTCTGGAGATGGACTCAAAAGTTTCCGCGAGACATTTTGACGAAAATCTGAAGTCTCAGGCAGGAAATGCGGGAATTCCTGCTTCAGTGACATTTTCTCTGGCACTCGGAAAGGGTGGGAGGGGGGGGGGGACGTGTAGAAAGCCTGTAGCCACATTGACGGAACAGGAAATTCAACTTTGCCAATCCCACCTGTCTGGCAACACATTTTTATTGAGTCTGTGCGTGCTGTTTGGTTCAATATTTCGTGCAACCGATATTCTGGGATAAAAGGTTAAGAGCTAACAGGGTTTCTTGACGCAATCTGAAGGCAGGCCGCCGGTTTCTCTGCTCGTTGGAAAGATAAAGATACTAAAATGGAGGAGTGTCCGAGTTTGCGTGTGAGTGTTCAGTTTCTTGTCCATCCGAGGGAGTGGTCGGGCAGTGCAACCCCCTCCGGCATGTGAATCAGGCTGGCCATTGTATTATAAAACCATACTTAGGGACCGTCAACACAATTGATTTTAAACCGAGATTAAAATGTTTAATATACGGGTTATTTCATTTT